TGCGTAATGGGGAAGCTGTGCGACGATGATGACCTCGCTGGTGCAGTGTTCAGTAACGATTTGGTAACGAGATTTGGGGTAGCGTCCAGCGGCGTCCTCGCGGCGTCAAGGGCGCGCTCGATGATGAGGATCCTGGGCGAAAAGATCTGCGTCGCTGCTCTTTCGCGTTTGGGAGCCCAGTACCTACCTAGGTACATGTACTGCACAGCCCTGAGATCTTCACTGGATGGAGCTCGATCTGTGTTGGTGCTCGCCGCCAGGTCCAGACGCTGACCAACTGGCACGAACGCCCGCAGAGAAGAAGCCGGCTGCCAGGCTTCCAGAAGGAAGCTTGGCAGGCAATAGCCTGCCACTCCTTATCACGAGGTGGAGGAACAGAGGGATAAATTGACAAGACGAGGCGGGGCCCGACCTGACAAGCCGAAGTCAACCGGACGCATTTCGCCCTCGCCATAGGATGAGGGGAGATGCCCTGGATGCTAGCTCTTTCTGTTGTTGGGCAGATCAAACTGGCAAGGGTGGGTAAACAAAAACCTGCGTGCTTGAATCGCATGAAGTGGGGGGACATCGGTGCTGCCATCATTCATAGTACACATGATTGGGCTGAGGCCGAACAGGGTGTGGTCGTGGCGGCCGCCGTCTCGTGCAAGACCCGGTCCTCCCGTCAGCCATCGCGCTCAATGAGGTGAGGGGCTGGACGCCCCGTCCTGTAAAAGCCGAGAGACAGACACCCTGGTCGAGACGAATAGCCGAGTGGCCAAGAGGGCCAAGAGAGCCAAGCAGGGCAGAGATGGCCAAGGTCGATGGCCAAGATGAGTGGAAAGCTTGACCGAAAAGCTTCGCCCACACGACCCTTCTTGGCCTGCCTCTTCGCCCTGCCTGGTCTGCCTGTGGCTTGAAGTAGCACCTTGATGCAGGCCGAATAATTTTTTCTTCTTCTCTCAGCTGGTCTGCCTTTCGTGGGGAATCCCGGGTAAAAAAAAACGCCTCCTGTTACGTCGTCGAGATATGGATTGAGTTCGCAAGCGTCAAACGGCGAGTCAAACGGCTGGTGGCGTTGTTGTAAAGTCCCGAGAACTATGCATACTTTTGCCCCAGACGAACCCTCAGGCGCACGCAGGCACATCGCACCTTCATGAGCTTCCTTGCTGGAGCTAGACGACGTTCTGGAACGATAGCCAAGAAGTGGATTGCAAACAGAAATTGGCTCCGCCACAGTCCAGTGAGTGCAAGGGTGGGGAGTGGATGCGTTCGCAGATTGGCCGACTCGGATTGAGAGTCTGCTTTGGGCCAGGTGACCACCAACGGACGAGCTGACAAGGCAAGGGAGGTGGGCTTATCGCAAACAGTGGAGCAAGAACTTTGACGGTACGACACAGGACCACATAGCACGACACAGCGCGCGCTGTTCGCGTCGGTTCGAGTCGGGGTCGAGCAGCGACCGTATCGTAGCGGCCGGGCGCCAGCGGGACTTCGGTGGTCGAGACTTGTTCCGAGACGGCTTGGTAGCTCAACTAGTTACTGACTGCTGGAACGTGGAGCGCCGCAAACAAGCAGTCGGGTACGAGAATGCCTTGTCTGCCACCCCCCGCCATGTCTCTTTAACGTGGGCAAACAGAATATTGTGCCCTGGGCATATTTGATGGCCGCCACAATTTCTCATTGCAAGCCAAGCACTTGGCAACTAGAGAAGAGAAATGCTTGACTCGGGCGAAACTGGAGAGCCTGGCAGCCTGGGATGGGGGGTCTTCAGAGGCGCTATGTCTGCGCCGCCTGTGTCCCTCCAAGGCACACAGATTGCGCCGAGCTGACAATGCACCAGGTCTGATGTGTCCAGGGGGACCAATCTAAGTCGTGTACAGCATGGAGTGGAACACGTGACCGAACATCACATGACTCGGAGAAGCCACATCAGCCGCAATCTTCGGACACCCCGCGATTCTACGGGTACTGCCGGACTCTTGAGCGCCAAACCTGTCATATTCTGGATTGCGTCCCACCTCATCAGCTTTCGGGTGACACCAGACTATCGGCAACCAATGAACTCTCTCTTGATGCGAATGCGAAAACCTTTCCAGGGAATCGCTATCAGAAGGCCTTGCCACAGACGGGCGTTGAATTTACGGGCACCGACTCCAGCTACGTCGTCTGGCGGCCCAGTGTCGCTCCAACAAGCACGCCTATCTAAACTGACAGCTCCTGTTCGGCAACTGAGCCGGAGCCATCAGTGCCCCATGTTTACTCAAGCTGGGCACCTGGGGCAGCAAAGTCAGCCCTCGTCCCTTGAGAAAACCATTTCCCCACAACTGCTGGGCGAGGTACGCGACTTTTGGTTTTCTCATTTGGAAAGTGAGGATGCCGCCATCCTGCCAGGCTTCAATGAGATGAAGCGTTGGTTCATGGGAGGCGAAGAGCTTGATGATCTCTGCAGGTAGGTTATTCCGGCCACGCCGCAACTGGACACTCACTTACTCGTCCAGCGAACGTTTCAAGCCAGCGCTTGAGGCCATCAAGTCATCGAATGCGACCCCAGAAGCGATCATTTCCGACGCCAGCCCATCCGACCCTGGGGACTGGCTCGCGTTAATCCTTTTGCTGGATCAATTCCCCCGCAACTGTTACCGAGGGTCTTCAGCAAGTCTCGTCTTCTTGATCTTTGACCCACTTGCCCAAGCCGTTGCACGCAAGGCCATCGATCTTGGTATACCATTTTCTCGTGACATTCGATACCACCTGTCTCGCCGCATGTGGTTCTACCTACCTCTGATGCATTCAGAAGATATCGCGTTGCACGACCAAGCCGTGGCTGAGTACGAGCGCATGGGCCGCGACTTCAAGACGCTCATGACGTCTTCACCAGTCAATAACGCCGCTGAGGAGCGTTGCCGTCAGGTCCTGGCGACGGACAAGGAGGCAACTGAAAAGGTTCTGGCTTCGAATCTTGACTTTGAGAACAAGCATCGTGATATTATTGCTCGCTTTGGACGCTATCCACATCGCAACGGCCCGCTTGGCCGGAAAATGACAGCGGACGAGCAGAAATACCTCGACGACGGTGGCGAGACCTTCAGTGCGAACGCGTCGAAGTCTTGACCAGTCGTACCCAGGGCGCGCTGACGACCTCGAGCACGCAACTCCTGACAAGCCTGTATATATGTGGTGGTACCTGTTTCGTGTTTTCTTTTTTTTTTTTTTTTTTTGAGGTCGCAACTTTGTGCCAAAACCAAATGCAATCATGGAAATCTCCGTGGAAGTTGACGATCACCCCGCACTGGATTGGGGATCACGCCATCTCCCTTCCTCCAGTTATTGACGCGTCATTACCACACGTTATGATTGACAATCAGACATCACGTATGCCTCGCATGGCGTCGTCTACATCGCAACTGATATATACAGAATTCGGACGCTGTTCTTCCGTTTCTTTCTTTCGAAACCATAACACATCAAAATGGGACGGTTTGCCCACAAGCTTCCCGGGCAGGAAGTTGCTGTCATTGGCGATTCTTCCAGGGAGGTCGTGCTCTTACAACAATTTTCATGCACTGTCTGGTTCCCGTAGAATCGGATCGGCGTTGGTGCCGCTGAAATCTTGCTTGATACTGGTGCTCATGTGTTTGTCATCTCCTCAGCAAAGGAAAATGTGCAGAGTGCCGTCCAGCGCTTGAATAACCCAAACGTAATAGGCAGAGTAGGAGATTTCCGTGACGAGGCTAGCTTCACGCAACTCCTCTAATCGCTCGCGCCTCTTGACCATATCGTCTTTTCGAGCGTTGACAAGATCATCCGCGGCAGTCTAGCCAGAAGTTGACCTGAATGACGTGAAGAATCTGTTCGGTGTAAAGTTCTGGGGTAGTATTGTCATAGGAAAAGATGCCTTTCTAAAGCTTTGAGCATACTTAGTAAGCTAAAATCAAGTGGCTGTTGCAAAGCATGGAATCATCAAACCTGGAGGCTCGGTCGCTCTGACCTCTGGTCTCGCCGGAATACAGCCCGGGAAAGGTGCCACGGTTGCAGGTGCCCTCAATGGTGGACTACTATCCTTGACCAAAGGGCTGGCTGCCGCCGATCTGTTCGATAAGAAAATCTGCGTCAACACTATTGTGCCAGGGCTAGTGAAGACGGAGCTATGGGTAAGCTGGGATACAACGAACAGAAACAACAGGAGATTCCCGAAGGACGCGGTAAGAGTTTCCAGTGGGCTTCGTCGCGACCCCAGACCACACTACCGATGCTTAACTCTATTCTGTTCGAGCCGACTATGCAACTGGGACTCTCATTTTCATTGATGGTGGAAACCTAGACTATTTGTCAAATTCGATGCAATTGTCCCTCTACAGTGTTGAACTCGCGTTCGACCTAGGAACATCCAACCAGAAATCGCCAAAACCCACCATCGGCCAAGCAGTGTGGCGCCCAGTCGCTACATGTGCTATAACTATCAGCGTGCGCGGACAAGTCATTCATGCAATCGAAGATAACGCACCACATGCCGGCTTTTTCACCTCCCTGCGACATACAGCCAGTTAGCGATGTACACAGAAGTGCTTCGACTCTTCGGCTCTCGACATACACGTTGACCATAAAGACCTCTTAGGGCGTGGCACAAAGTCGAATACAGCCTGCCACAAGAAGCGAGCGCCTGGGTTCATCAGACTTTTCATGTCCTTCAAGAGGCTGTTAACAACAATACAGCAACCATCATATATGACGTTGCAAGCGTTGCCCCAAGTTTTACTTGAGATACCATGACGGCCCAACACTTGTTGACCGAGTGCAGCAGACAGCCATCAGGGCTGCATGATGCCTTTAGCGCAGCGTCAACCGTGCTGTACTGCGTTGGTATCTTTCAAGGTACCGAGTTCGGCATATGCTCTGGCAATAAGTTTGGAGGATATAAAAAGAGTATCGTGCCAGCTACCTTGTATTGTGTTGCCTTTAGTCATATCAGCTTCTGTCTGCTAGCGAAACCGTGACGAGGATATACTTCACTTGGCTTCGGGCTCGAACTCATCGACATAAGCCTGTCGCATGCTCGTAATTAGCAGCCTTGGCCAAGGGTAACACGTTGGTTGAGAAAGCCCAAATCACCTTGTCCAGTCGACAGGTGGGCCACTCCAGCTGCATTTAAATGGCAGAATCTAGAAACTGCTTCGTGTAGCAGATAGAGAACCTTAGTTAGTCATTGCCTTAATAACATTGGGTTGTACCCTGGGACGATCACCAGTCAAAAATGCATCTCTCGGCGAGGACAGCAGACTGAACTAGATGTAGAAGGGAACATAAGGGGTTCGATACAATATACAAGGAACAGCGGAAAATGCAATATGAATTTGAGGGCGATTTTGAGCACGTTGATGCAGCGTTGAAAAAGCCTGGAAACGTCAGGAGTTACGGAAAGAAGTTCAAGTGGCACGCCGCCCAGGAATAGAACTGTACAGTCTCATCGATGGTGGTCATGACAATAGCAACAGAAAGTCGGCTCTTCTATTTCGGAAGCAGCGGAAGAAGATTGTCCTAGGGAGTGCTGCCAAAAAGAACTACGAGGAAGCATACATCATACCTTCCTACCTAGGGGAAGACACTCGCTGGATCGTTGAAGTTGATGGGCCTGTCTCCGAGATGCTCGGAGCTCCGAGCATTAAGCCGATGGATAGAAAATGCATCCGAGCTTGATAGTTTGTGCTGGGAAGACGGCCAAGCATTATTGTTGGCAGTTGCGCGACTCAGCTCGCGATTCCCCGGAGGCTCGTAGCGGGGATACGCGCCGCTAAGAGACCATGGCTGGTTGAAACATCTGTGTCGTATCAATCGGCATCTTGGCCTCAGGGCAAGCAGGGGAGCAAATTTGCTAGCACGCCTTGAACGCCACACATGATGATCATCGGCACGTTGGGGGCGCAGCGTGGAAGTTTGGTGGCATACGGAGCGCCAGCGCGTCCGTCTGGCGCGTTGGTTGCCGATTGTATATGCAGCGCACGGCTTGAGGCGGCAACTAAACTAAACCCACCCAACGACGTTTTCGAGCAGGAGAGACGAGCGGGCGTAACAACCCCCCTCCCCGGGAACGTTCGGGTTGGGGTTGTGGAGAAGGCGGCGCTGGACCTGGGGAAGCGTGGAGAGAACGACAGACTGCTGTGTTCTAGAAGCGAGATGCCAAGATGAGGCTGAGCGCCATTTTAGGCCCCAATGCATGTTAAGCCTCCGGGCTCGGTCTGGGTCTGGGTCGTAAGAAAAGACACCAGAGGCCGGCACTTGTAAATTGTGGGATCGACAGGAACCGTAATTTGCCGTCGGTTGAGGTTTTTTTTATTTGGCGTTGATACAAACGCTTGCATCATAAGATTTTTCTTGTTTCATCATGATGCGGTACTTGGGTGCTTCTGCGCGGCGATTCAGTCGCAGTGGCCGAGCCCTAGGTGACTTTTTCAAACTCACAGTCGGATTTCCCTGGTGCAATTTGGCTACGAACACCAAGCCAGGAGTCAAGAATGCACAAGAACGAAGCTCAGGCTCCAAAGTCATGGAGGGGTGGCCAGGTACCGGGTTTGTGTAGCGTTGCATGAGAGGCAACTGCAGCCAGATTTGCTTCAATCGGATCAGGAGGGCGAGGCGACTTTGGTGCATCCGTTTCGCGCATCTCTTGAGAGGCCCCGCAAGGTTGCAACCCCTGCCACTAGGTAAGACATCATACCATCGCTGGGACGCCTACGCGCGGTTGATCGCCTGACATGAAGGTAGATTCGATTGTCCATTACGAATTCAGCCCTCCGGAGCTCCCGGTTGTTACACAGCAAGGATTTAGTTGAACAGTGGCACGACAGCTCGCACAATATGGCGGAGTGTTGCCCGCGAGGGGCCACATTCGTCATCTTGATCGGAGACTTGGCGGCGTAACAAGCGGTGGTGGACCAATTAAGCCAGGATACAGAGGAGTCATCGAGGAACTGGATTGCAAGGGCGGGGAACCAAAAGAGAAGAAAATGCCAACCCATCTCCCCCGTCTTTCGCCAATCCAGCAGGGTCGTGCGCATGCGACGCACTACGCGAGTCGAGCTGTCGTGATGATAAACGCTCACCGACCGGGCATGGTGGAGCCTGTCCACTACAGACAGCATCATGGGTCATACTTTGTAGCATGTGGAATGTGGGACACGGCAACATGGGGGCAGGTTGTGAGGTTCAGTTCGACGACCAGTGTTTCCCAACCATCTGGACAGTCGCACGGCCCAGAAGAGCTCGCCAGACGCCAAACGCCCGTCGGCCACACGCACGACGCGAGAGAAATAGGCACGTAAGCAAATTGCAAGCGGACAAGCGGGCAAACGGGCAAGCGAGCAGGCAAGCAAGCAAGCAAGCGCGAGGCTCGGAAGCGACAACCCAGACGCCTTCTCGGGTGCTCCCACGAACCGTCCAACTCTAAAGCACGAGTGGCCCAGTCGCTCACGGGGATAAGCTTAAAGGCCAAGAGTATTGGCTCAGTGTTTCCCCCCAGTCACAGGCCCGATATTTGCCTTGGCCTCCAGTCCATCAACACGATTTCTACTGTCCCTGAAAGACCCGCGCCACGATTTCTCACGGCTCTGCTGTTGGTTACACACTGCCGACAAGCCTGGCCTATCCACAACATAGCGCGTTGCGCTGCACCACCACTGTGGTGAGGCGTTATACTCTGCAGCATTGGCACTACAGATGGTCCGGTCGCCAATTTCATCGAGAACATACACAACCTGCACCAAAACAAGCTCCAGCCATGCCAGCCATGCCAGCCACCAAACCAGCGACGAATCGCATGGGATCGTGTTCGTGGTGGGTGGTTTGAGGGGCCCCTTGGATTGTGGCCTCAACATTAGTTCGTTGCACTACCTCAACATTGCCCATGACTGGCCGAGAAGCAAGGACCAAAAACACTCGCCAACCAAAGTAGACGCGCCTCCGCCCGACGACACGTCTTTGGGAAGAATTTGGAGCACTGCACATTCACTCTGGAAGGGGGGCAGCCATCTGCGCAACCTCGTGGCCCTGTTGACGGATGCGACGGATGCGTACCTTCGCAGATGACTGAGCTAGTCGAACCACCGAGTCATCCCGACCCTCCTTGCACGATTGGCGGCAGCCTTGCGACAGATGAAGGTCTTGGGAGTGGACGAGCACGACTCCAGCTCGCCCTCCTTCACAATGATGCCAAGCCAAGGTGCGGCCTCGTCTCGAAGGGTGCACAACGAATATTGGCGACCTTTCCGTGGTGATAGGTGCTGCGACCGAAGTTTCCCCATCAAAAGGGCCGTTCCCCCGCTCTCGCTTTCCCTCCAATGTCGGTCTTCTCTCCGCTGACCCATGTCAAAGGGCAATACAGGTCCTCTCATTGATCAGGGCCCCAAGTGCCGCGGGGCCACAACCCTGGCGCTAGAGGTTGGCAGAGGGGGGCCACCCGCTGCGGAGTGCTGCTGTGTAGGTGATGACTTCAACCCCCGCCCCCAGTCCCCGCTGCCAGCCACCAGAGCATGTTTCGGGCGCACCGGGCAGGCAAGGCCAGTAGCGTCGGAACCTGATTAGAGTCCCTGCTTAGCATTGGTCTAGGAGGCATTCGAGGGGGGGGGGGGCAGATCCATCGACCCACCACTTTGATGGGCTTCTGTAGCCTCGAGCTCCCTTTGGAGATCCATGTATCCCACGCATCCCGGCTCCTTGGCATGGCTTTTTTTGCGCCTCTCGTTAGCCCCCCACGTACGTGTACGCTACGTCCGTACCTAACCATCGATAACAGGAAGCAACACCTTACGCAAGGACGCAAAGACAAGCAGGCAGGCTGTTGAGGAAAATGGTTGCTCATGGTGGATGTGCGAAGCGTCTCCAAAATGGCAACCCCCCCCCCCCTCCCCTCCCCTCCAAGAAAAAAAATAGGACGGGCAGCAGCATCGAGTGCGCATCTTTTACCCCAACCCCAACTCTGATCCTTCAGCCTTCAGCCTTTGAATGGCTAGGTGTTGCAGTGCGTTGCGTTGCAGACAACGAAGGGGGGGGGGGGCGAGCGGGCGAGTGGCTTGTGGCTCGAGATGAAAGTGTCCAATATCCTAACCGTCAGCCGGGGCGCTCCTCCCCACCTCGAGACGGCCGGCTGCACATCGTATTGGCACCATGAGAAGCTATCGAACCATTCGGGCGGAGGGATGCGCATCGCACTTGCGTCGGAGCCCACGTTTCCTTTCTTGCCTGTCGACTAGCTTGGGAGCCTGGCGGTGGTCGCGCGTGTCCGTCGAAGCTTCTTCAGCCCGTTCGTCCCGTATTCCTCCATGGATGAGATCAATGGAAGATCCCCAGGTAAGGTACCTATCTGCCCACATACCTACCTACCTTAGGTACATGTACAAGCAGGCCTCTGATTCCATGCCACGGCGATGACGGAACATGCAAGTGGACGAGGCAGGCGTGACCCAGACCAGACCCAGGAGACCTCTAGTAGAAAGTCCCATCCGGGCAGCACCCCGCGAATGGGCAGTCGCAAAGCGCAAAGGCTCCGGTTCTTTCCCCGCATCAACGAGATTTGCAGCTTGCATCTTACTCTCATCTGTCGTCGCTTCCGAGTCATTGTCGACATATCAAGGTTGTGGATACCACAGCGCCTGCAACCTCGCCATGATACCCTGGCGTCCGTTCCTCCGCCCAGTCTCCATAGCCTTACCTTCCGGCGAGCTACCGTAGACCTGCGCACCCCTGCTCTTCCCGGCCAACTTTGGACCTTCATAGGTTTCTTTTGTTGCTGGTGCATCGTGCCCCATGCGCCAACCCATGTGCACCCCTCCCTCTCTTCGGTCGAGGCTCAGATCAAAAATCTCACCCGCATCCCGCTCCACGTTGTCAGAAGTTTCTTGTCCAATCCAGACCCCAGCTCTCGGACGCAAACAGCTTCTCGTTGAAGCAGTCCTGGCCGGCCGCGACATCGGCACCCTGTCGTCCCCGTCCGTCCCCGTCCCCATTACCGCGCACAAAGACATCCCGTAACGACCCAGTAGTGGCCCCCCTTCTACCACCCCCCCAGGTGTGCCCCTCCTATGACCACGAGCTTCCCCCTCAAACCGATGATCGTTTCTCCAAAGGGGGAGGGGGACCATTGCGCGAAATCAATTTGGCCTACGGATCGCAACCCCATTACAAGAGTGACGGCATCCCCCCTCGTTTGTTCGCCCCCCTTCTCGATCGAGCTCCTTCCTCATCCTCATCACTTCGCCCTTTCCGCCTCTTTCTCCCCTTCTTCCTCTTACACTTCTTTCCTCCACATCACTGACACTCACATCTGTGCACTCCTGTCTCGTTAACGGCCGTGCGGCATCGTGACAGCATGTCAGCCATCGATGAGAAGCCCCAGGCGGAGATCGACCGTGTCGAGACGTCATCGGGCGACAATGGAAAGGGCGGTATCGAGTATGAACGAGCCCAGCTGCTCGCGAACCTTCCTGATCCGGACGCGGGCAAGTCGGAGGAGGAGCGCCGCGCAATTGTAAGTTAAGGACAGAACAGCTGGTTCTTTACGTTACAGGATTACAGGACGGTCTCGCTAACACGCAATCAAAGGACAAGAAGCTCATGTGGAAAGTTGACCGATGGCTGATCCCTTGGCTGTCTCTGCTGTGAGTTTTTTCCCCACAAGCAAATGATTCATGCGCAAGACCGTGTGCTCTCTTTCTTTTCGCTCCCGCGAGTGCACCCCGCTGACCCGTTTACCAGTTACCTTCTCTCGTTCCTCGACCGTACCAACATTGGCAATGCGCGTCTCGCCGGAATGGAACCCGATCTCGGCATGGAAAAGGGTGACTATCAACTGTCCCTGACAATCTTCTTCATCAGCTACGCCCTTGCTGAACCCCTGACCAACGCCCTCCTGAAGCGCCTCACACCCCGAATCTTCTTCACCGGCATCATCCTCAGCTGGGGTGTCATCATGACCCTCATGGGTCTCGTCAAGAACTTCCAGGCCTGCTGGCCGCTCGTTTCTTTCCTCGGTGTAGCCTAGGCCGGTTGTGTTTCTCTGGAGTGAACTA